AAATAGCCGAATATGACGATATTCAACGTAAAATACAGGAGATATAATAAAAATTCAAATTGCTATTTTTGTCGATTGTTTGTTATGTACCAGTTCATTTTTTTCTCTCTTCACTTCGGCTTTCCTTTTCTAGCTTTTGCTGTCAGCATTTCTCGGCAATCGCTGTTATTTCCAATCATTCTCTCTGAATACAAAAGATTCTATAAATGTATGATGGTGTGATTTTACTTTGATGCGTTTATTCCCTTTATATCTATGTGTAAATATTTGACTGAAAACGTTCAATCAAAAAGTCACATTATCCCCATGTGTGCCATCAAAATCGACTTCGAACCGAAAAAAAGAGTGTTATTATTATATGTATCTGATACAATGTATTACAAAACAGTAACTAAATAAATGTCATGTGGGCTGTTTTATTCCATTTTCCATATTCTTTCTTTTTCTCACGTTTGTTTTTGCGGTGGCTTTTATTTGTGCACACTGCACACATTGACCAGTATGTGACACCAACAAAGGACATTTGTGATACAGTATCTTGAGTGATGCTGTTTTCGTTTTGAAATAATTGCCGAAGAAAAAACGCAAAACATGAACAACGCAAATAATAACGTTTCTGGTTAGAGGGCCAATATATTTAATCAAATCATGCAAAAAGTGGATTCTTATATTTAACACTTAACTCGTGTATGTTATATGAGATTATGTGATGAAGAATGGGGGCAACAGGTTTTCTTGTTGAATCTAATATATATTTACAGTTGGTCTGACACGGTAACACGCACAAAAATCACCGATGAAAAGTCAACGCCAAACATTTTTTTATGTACATTGTACACAGATTGACTACGTGTGAAAGATGATGATGCATCGATACAAAATACACATATAGAAAATGACCGGATTAAATTACAATGTTACACCAATTGTTGGGTTATTTCGAATATGATCCGTTTTCACATTGTTTTTGTTGATTCATCTTTTTCCCAATTCATTGAAAATGGTATCGAGGATAGAAACGTTTTTGGCCTACAAAATTTCACTTGAAATTTTGAATATTCAAATAATACCAAATTCATGTTCATCAAAAATGTTAAAATGTTCAATGAATATCCTTGAAAGTATTGTAAATACAGCATGATTGGCATATTTGGAATGCCTCAAAATATCTACGAGTAACGGAAATAAAATTATCTCGGCCAAAGATTGCAGATGTTATTACTCTCTCTCTCTCTCTCTCTCTCTCTCTCAATTTTTTCCTTCGAAAAACACGATTCGAAAGGAAAATTAAATCGATGAATGAAAATAGACCTGAAAATAAAGTTGAAAGTCGCGGTTCACTTGACCGTTGAGCGTATTTTGTGTGCCACATAGCTACATGTATTGGTGTATGTAATTTATTGTTTAAATCACATATTCACGTGATTGATTACACGGTTTTAAGCCATAGACACATGTTGTATCGTTATATTTTCATATATTCATTGACGTCATTCTGAATCGTAGAATTTCTCTCCCTCACACGCAAATTATCTAATAATATCGAACGACGCATATCATTTCATTTTGCTGTATATTTCTCTATCTTAAAAAATGTTGCAAAAAAAAACTACATTGAGAAATGTGCGCGCGTACTGGGCGATTAAATTACATTATTCATTATTAAAATGGGTGTAGATATTTAAATGAAAGACACATTCATCATATAGAATGAGTGCGCGTGTATGACGAAATCGGGATTATTCCAATGAACCAGAAATATGCCACGTATGTGTATGGATTCGATACAAATACCAACGACAAGCAATACCATAACAAACATTCTCGCTCTTTCAAAAACTCAATCTCAACCATTGCTCATTTATGCAACAATGAATCAAAAGTTTTCTGGCTATTTTTCTCGTATATATACAATACAATTGACAAAATCAAATACAACGGCGAATAATGCCCGCAATATGAGAGATTGAGAAAGAAAAAGGAAGTAAAAAGAGCATCGAATGAAATTCTTTTTTTGTTCGCACATGTATTCGAAGGATCAAAGAGTATTTTTGGTTTTTCATTCCGTTCACTGCAACAATTGATTGTGTTTTCTTCTTGTTGAGTGTACAAATGGGATGCCAAATATTGGTTGTGCATAGCTGTGATGCAAAAGTTTAATTAATATTCGTTGGTAAAATGAGGCGAAGTTTTGGAATTCGGTCGGTCGTAAATGGTTTTGGTCAACTACTTTGATCCAAAATTCAAATTTCAAAGCTCTTTCGACGTCTTGATTGCATCGATGTGGTTTTTGTGGTTTGATGTGATGTCTCTTCGTCAAAGAGCCCATTCAATTTAAGAATCAAAGAAGCTTGTTGTCCAACAATTTCGAACAAAAGGCATCCTAAGAGAAAGAAAAAAACCCGACTTGGTCACATTTAATGCAAAATCATAAAACATTTTACATTTTCATTAGACACTTGGTTCAAATTATCTCTTCTTTATTGAATTTGAATTCAAATTTGACGCCACCACAAATCAATTTTCGGAATTTGATTAAAATACGTTTAATATTAACTGTACCAATATTGAATTTGGAAGCTTTCGTTGTTTAGTGTCGATTAGATTCCAAATGGCAGATAATGGTCACTTGAGTAAAAATGGCAATTTGTTTAGATAAAAGAAAGTCATTCATAATGAAAATGTGACAAGGTCTTTTGTTACAAAGTCAAAAATGAATGTTATATGAAAATGAAAATATATATGTATACTTAAAGCAGCTTGAACTCAATACGCAAGTAATTCAATTCGTTTCAAATTTCTTGCTTTTCTCCTCATTACAATCACATCTATTGAATCGATATTTATGTACATTTTGCTCGATTTGTGTTTTCACTGCTGCCATCCATATCTAATTGTGGTTGCAAGGACACAAATACACTTTTAGTTATATCATCACCATCACCATCACCATCGTCAGATAAGATGTGAAAATTCACAGTGATTGCTGCCCGCTACTTTATTTTCATCTCTCCATTTCCATTATACAGTGCATAGCATTTGGCTACCCAGTCGAGTTTGTTCAGGCATACAGCCAACTGACAATCTCGATTTAATCGTAATGAAATAATTCAAAACCATTTTCATTGGAAATGGACCAATGTAAGAGCAAAAGCAAAAAAGAGAAACGCGGGTAGGGTGCAAGAGAGAGAGAGAGAGCAATGGCAATTCGATTTGGAATAGGTGACAATGAGTGGAAAATATATTACGTAAGCTGGCAAATGTGTCATAAATATCCGCCACAATGCTAACCAAGTTTACTTGACACACACACACACGCACACTTTATTACAGAGAACATAGTGACTGTGTTTAAGTGTTACTCTTACAATTATGCACATAATAAAAACATAGAACAATTTCTCTCGTTTATTTTGTTTATTTATTCATGTAATTATTGTTGACTTTTCAGAAAATGTAGTGAAATTATCGCCATAGAAATGCCTATGGCATGTAGTATGTATAAATCAATGGACACAAGTTGTAAGCTTTCACTTTTTCCATCCGTAAAATCGAATATCATGGAAGCATATCCCACGTTAATATTGTAGCATAGGCGACAGTCGTTGACGAGATGAAGTGCTTGTATGTTAAATGGAACGGCGAATAACAAGTATGTGATTTGAACAGCGTGGAATACATGCTTTTGACCGACATTGAGCCTAATTTAATTGATAACAATTTAATACATTAGTTTCACATTGAAATTACATGTTATTTGTTATTTAACATTAAATGCAAAATCACTGTCCAAATCCACAATCAAATGTGACATTATTCGTTCAACACTCTTTTTTTAACAGATATTAGCCCAAGTTCACTGCGCAGTTACTGATACATTCTTTTGCTTACGCCATGAAATAATTTATTACACATTACATAACATTTCATAATATCGGAAATAATTTGTAATAAATTTAAAAGCTTACAGCAGTGCTTGAATGAATCTGTAATATTTAGTGCAAATGACTTCGTATAAAAAAAATTTAATCTCGTTCAAGCATTAGCCGTCCGATATCACTAATTAATAGTGCAAAATGTGCCAGCAAACAACGATGAATTGCGTTTTTTCTCATTTAATAAAAGTATAATTTCCTGAAAAGAATGTTTCCATATGATTTTGCTTATGCATACAATGGAACTGGCTAGATATATCATAAATAGCGGCTATTTTGTACATTTCGATTTTATAACATTTTTTGAATAAAGTTTTACTCTTATACACTTTTCGATGTCAGTTATGACGCTGGCTTTTGTATACTTTTGTAATATGCTTCAATAACGTCTTCATAATAACTTGAAAACGTTGCGATTAGTTTAAAATTGGTTTGTGATACTGCATTGTAAATTACGCTTAAAATATATGCACTTCTCTCTACAAAATGAACACTTTTCCATTGAAAAAAAAATGCATTTTTCATTATTTTTTCTTGTGTGCCTGATTTTAATCTGTACGCCAAACCAATCTGTACCATATATGAAATTTGATGAAATGGTGTGGTGGAGTATTTATTTGAATATAACATTAACTGTTAAAATTTGGTTAAATTCGCTAACCAAATGAGAAAAAGTGTTGCTTATACAATTTCGTTGATTGCATGACCAACGCAGCAGGCAAAAATGGAAATATTTACATTTCACACCATTACATTTAATTAACGGCTTTTTATTCGGTCGAATTGGGGCTCAAAATAAATTTCATTTATTCCACACTCTGGGTTATTATTATTACTATTTAATGAGAAGTGTGTATGCATTTGATAGAGACAGTTCCGTTTTTTTTGTGGCCCTGACAAATGCTTTTTTGTACATTTTTCGAACGATAATAATATATTAATTGAAATGTAATGAGATTATTATTAATTTTCAACTACTAAGCATTGATTCAATGTTTAATGCATTGTGTGATTTTCTTGGTTACTAGAGCAATTTTTGTGTTAACGGTACAAAACACAACTTACCTCTTGCTTCTAGTTTGACTCTTTCTATAACAAAACAAAAAAAAAAAAAAAAAAAACAAAATTAAATTAGTGTAACTATGCTGAATAAATGTAAAAAAAAATTGTATATCAATTGAAATCATAGTTTCATAGTTGGTCACATGTGTTTGGCTTGACCCTTCCGCTCCAGTTCTCCGTTAAAATTCTAAAACCAAATAAAACAATAACGAAAAAAAGGACGATAAACAATTTTTTCATTTATATGGAGTTATTCAAAACTTCATTTCATATGGCATTATAGCACCCCAGAGAGATATTTTTATTGAATTATCTACGACAGTGTCTCTGTACACTATGAAATTGAATGTTTTCGAAGAATACGAGAGAAACTTTTCGAAAATCTCTTTGATGAATCCATATTAAATGTTTGTTGAAAATTGTTGTCGCATCAATGTAAAAAAAAGTGATGGTAAAAGTTGTGTGCGTTTCAAAAATTCTCTTTCAAAAGCCAATCGTATTTGCTAAATTGAACATTTATATGTTTTGGTATACGCTTTGAGTTATATTTAAAAGTTGGTGTTGTTCCATAAATAAATACGGTGATAATGTACGTATGCATGTGTGTGTGTACACGTCAAATGAAATCGCAAATGGGACTCAAAATGTAAACATGATGCAAAGATGCGATAGAAGTTAGTGTAAATACCATCCAAATGTTCAAATACGAGATATTGAGTGTGTTAGAGATTAAGACGACTAATATTCCATGTGAAATATAAATTGTGATTCGACAACCGAAGCATGTACATTAGGGTGTTTCCACATGGAAAATATCAAAAAGTGGCTAGCATCATTTTGAAGAGCGTAAAATTCTGTATAAGATCATTTGATTTTCGATGCTGATTGGTCGCCGATGTCACTTCCTGGACTAAAAACACATTTGTAAATTGATTTCATGTCGCATTCACGCCAGAATCTGTAATTAATGAAATTTTAAGATTGAACAAAATTAAAAACATGAAAAATAATTTTAATATCAATATTATTGCTTAAATATTTAAAAAGTAACACAAAAACTAACAATTTTACCACAATAAACCAAAACAATGCAAAATCGCCAATTCATTTGACACATAACCTGTCATTTGTCATGCGTGAGCGAATCACGCTTCAAATGTCATTCTGTCAAATGAATTGGCGAATTTGCATTGTTTTGGTTTATTGTGGTAAAATTGTGAGTTTTTGTGTTACTTTTATTAATATTTAGGCAATTATTTTGATATTAAAATTATTTTTCATGTTTTTAATTTTGTTCAATCTTATATTTTCATCAATTACAGATTTTGGCGTGAATGCGACATGAAATCAATTTACAAATGTGTTTTAAGTCCAGGAAGTGACATCGGCAACCAATCAGTATCAAAAATCAAATCATCTTATACAGAATTTAACGCTCTTCAAAATGATAATAGCCACTTTTTAATATTTTTCATGTGGAAACACCCTAATGTACATTGTACAGTTTTGATAGACAAACTTGTTTTCATGCATCGCACAAAGTTATTGGAAAATCTCTTCTGAAGAGTGAATGTAGTATTCCCATAAAATCCAATTAAGACAAAAACTTTTTTAACCGTTCTATTTTGTCGTTTTCTCCCGTTGTATCGCTGCAAAAGCATTTACACGAACATATGACAATGGATTGCATTGTGATCACATAGCCATTGAGTTGTATTAGTTGGCAAATGTTTTGTATTTGTACTACAGTCACTGCGCAAACATTCGCCAATCTTAAAGAAAAACCTTTAATTATAATTTTAAAGCATGACTCTTGCATGTATAGAGAAGTCTATTGCTATTTAATTGCCTAAATTAACGATGCATTTTCATTCATCGCGTATAAATTGTTTTATGGATGATGAAGGCTAGGGGTTAGACACATGTTCAAGATGAAGAATCTGTTCGGTTTTGAAGATTCTTACGATTCTAAGATGGCGGAACACACATAGCAATATTTTTTAAAAACATAACTACTACACAGAATCGAAGAATGTTCGCATAAAGGAGAATGCAAATTGTAGGCTACTAGACGATATTTTGAGTTTATATCAACGATTCTTGACGATTCTACAGTATTTTAAGATTACATCGATTATGATTACCAGTGTCTAACCCCTAGGATAAAGGTTGTTGTTCAGTACATACGCTTTTGATCAAGTTTAGTGAAATGAAATTTGTTTTCATATCACTCAGATGCAGAAGCACAATGGAAAACTTTTAAACAATCTATAACTCTCTCTACTCTGGCCATACCATTTTTGTGAACAGTCTTTCGTAAAACATTCATCTTTCGCATCTTTCGCAACTAACAAAAACGCCAATGTCGGCAAAATATTATACACAAACTTTGCAAAGTGTTCTCTCAAGGAAATATCCACTGCGGATGCACAATTGCATATTCTACTGCGACTGCAGCCGAACTACACAATGATGATTTTAGCATTAGTTGATGTGTACACTACCTTAACAGTGCACATAGAAATAAAAATACTTCACCACTGGTTAGTTATGAATCTATAAAAGAGATATGATCAAGTCCCACTTACACTTACTGGTAAGACTTTCTTTATAAAGATGGCGCCACGTTAGGTGGATATAATGCTAGTCATGGCCGGATATGATACAGATTGATGACTGTACATTTGAACGCTCTAGAATAAAAACAACTTATTGTTTACTCGCATATCGAAATGCGACTCAAAACGGTTGCATATCAAAGCGAGACAATATTTCGTTACCAAAGGAATAAAGAACATTGACTTTTTATTATACAAAATGTGTAAGTTTCATTTTGTGCTGATAACTAGCTACTGTTCTGCCTTGTTTTAGTAACAGAATTTTGTTTCGCTTTGATATGCGACGCAGTTTAACGGTATAAATATTTCACACTCTCGAAGGCTCGGTATAGAACACACAAAAAATGAAAAAAAAACTTCTTATTCTCAAATTTCATAAACAATCAAATGGATTGTATCAGCAATTTTTATTGTCTCGCTTTGATATGCAATCGTTTTGAGTCGCGTTTCGATATGCGAGTAAACAATAAGTTGTTTTTATTCTGGAGCGTTCATTTATGGATTGGTTAATTAAATGCAACTAATATTCATCTCAGGCATTAATATGCCACATAAATGTCATAAAGCTATTGGAAGCGGCCAACTTTACCAATGTATTATTTTCGGTGTAGCACCAAGATTTGAAACCACCATCACGTTCTCATAAGATTCAATCGATTTTCACGCAAAAACATTTCGTTGAATCGTACCGCAAATTTACCAGAACTGTTCTTTTTCCGTGGAACACGATAAATGGGAATATAATTTGATTGTATACGTATTGGCTTTGTGCGACGACCACAAACTACGATGATAACATCAATACACTTCTGTTTTCATAGTTAAACATTTCGTATTTTCAATATTACCATTTAAAATGAACATCAACAATCTCTTAAGATAAATGTGAATGTTTCAAATATTTTGATAATAATGGTAAGTGAAATGCGTACCGAAATTATGCTCAAAGTGCCACACAGCTAGCGCCACGACGGAATTCAATGTAATCTATACTAAGTTGCTGCCCACTAGTGAAAAGACTTTTGCTCAGTTACAAACAACAGACTAGAACTCCATAGTTGTACGTAGTGGCGCTAGCTGTGCTACAGTTTTGCATTTTATACAGTCTCTTATGAAACATAATTGCAGTGCGGTGAAATGCAAATTGCAAAATGCAACCATTGAATAAAGCAACCATACACTATCTTCATGTTTCTCCTTGTCTCGCATCACGATTGGAAGAAAGTATAACAATCGAGAGAAAACATTATATTGAACGCTATTCAAGAACACAATGCTATTCCCGACAACTATACAACAAAACAAATATTAGATAAATGCTCAAATAGTGAAATATCGTTGGAATGAGCTTTGCATGTTACCTTTAATGATTTACCATGTAACTTTGTTATTTAAAATATTTTTTAGAGACGTTGAAGTGGTTTACATCAATAAAATATATGCAGCGAAACGCGGAAAATTGTGCACTGGAAGTTTGTGTTTTTTTTGCGTTTGTGAAGTTGATTCAATTGAGAACTAATTTTCTGGTCCCTCCCTCCCTCTCTCTCTATCTCTCTCTCTATCTCTCTCTCTATCTCTCTCTCTCTCTCTCTCTTATCGAAAAGCCTATTAACAATAATTTGAAAAAGATGGTATAATCGGATTTTCACATGAATAGAATCACCCATTTCACAAATTAATTGAACACGGCACAGTTATCAATTGAATTGACCATTTCAAAACATAAAAAAATAAACAAACCGAATTGTCGTTCATCAAACAAAAAGCAAACCACTTAATTACGAATTTTCCCTTCAACAATGTATCAAACGAAAACCGGAAAAAAATTCGTACGTTTTTGTTCAAATAAAAGCACCACTATTATTCCAACTCACGCAAATGTCAACTATTGAAAATAAGCATTTCGAATAAAGTGGCCAAACCTTGTCATTTAGATATCGAACTTTATGTACATTTTTTTTATAATTGAAAGTGTGGATGTGTGTATATGTGTGGATGGGTGCTGAATTTCAAAAAAATAAGCTGCCGAAAATGGAGAAGTTGAATTGGTCATGGGTACTTGTCATTTTCAATCGGATTCAATGGAGATTTTAACGTTTATACAGTGAATGGCAAAAAAACCGAAATATTTGTTACCAATTGGCAGTGACAACACGACCCCAACAAATGACATTTTTCTGAGCGGATTTCCAAACGAACATCCACCCACGCACGTACACACTATGCCGATAAACATTATTCAATCAGCATTTCACATTCATTTCGTTGAAAACATTAGAATTAAATCATTTGTGCGAACATAAATCTTGATTCTATACCGACATTTGCCATCGTCGACAAATACCACCGTCAAGGTTACGCTCATTTTACTACAATAGCATTCTGTCAGAATTTCTCTCTGGCAACATG